ATTTTCGAACTGATGCAGCCTGGATGAAATAGAAGGAATGCACAGGCATCCTCGGCGACCGGCGGTGCTCGAGAACGCTCAAGGGCAAGGTGTACCGGGCGGTGGTAAGGCCTACAATGCTCTACGGCAGTGAGTGCTGGCCCATCTGCAAGAACCATGAAAGGCAGCTCCACTCAGCTGAAATGAGGATGCTGAGATGGGCTGCGGCTGGATACAACCACAGTGAGTTAGAAATGAGGAAGTTAGGGCAGTCACAGATGGCTCCGGTCCAGCTGAAGGCACGAGAGCAGCGACTGCGATGGTATGGGCACGTACTGAGGAGGCCTGAAGACCACCAATAAGGAAGGCATTGGAATTCGAAGTAGAGGGCAAGCGACCACGAGGAGCCCCAAAGAAAAGATGGAGGGACGTCATCAAGAAGGACCTCACTGAAGTGAAAGCCACGGCAGAAGATGCAGTGGATCGGAACAAGTGGTGACGTTTAACACGGACTCTGCGACGGCGCGGAACTAACGCTAGGGAAGAGCAGAATAAGAAGAAGATCTCAAATGATAGGTTGCTTTCTTCCGATTCAGTTTTTGAAGATTACGAACAGGCCGCTTTCCTTATTCTCTACATCCCGAAGATGGGAGGGGCGGGGAGGGGTAGAGAAGTACTTCATTTGGACCATGTCGGCTATTGCACTTTTCCAGGGAAATCGCTGGTTTGGGACAATTGTAATGATACCTTTACCCAGCATAAGAAAGGATATCAATCCTCGCAAACGGTCATATCCAAATGAAATGCAAGGTCATGCTTCACCCGCCACCCATCTTCGTTATCTGGAGTATATCCAACCGTCGAGAGAGGCATTCATTCTGCCAGTGTTCCTCAGAACTTGGAATATCAATTGTCGATTCTTAGAGATAGGGCCGAAATGGAAGGTGAAGTGAAAGGTGGAGGATGTAGACTGAATAAGTTGGTGCCAAAATATCATGACGTGTCAACTAGCTTGAAATACCAGGTGATTCGCGCTCGGCTATTCTGAATAAGACCCCCTCATTCAAAGCTACCTCGCCAGACGAGTCGCAAGCTTGGACGACGCTGCGTCATGACCAGATTATCACCGATCACTTTCACGCCGCTGCGATCGCCAGATGTCAAGTGCGACTGCAATCTCGGGCATTATAAGACATGATCACCGATTATATCATTTTGCAGATTGGCGATCAGATTTTAAAAGTGAACGGACAGCCGATCACTGATCAGAACAACTTCTTTAAAGCACTTCGTTTTGCACCACCATTAGCAAGACTTACTATAATAAGGTGAATACTTTCAGTCGTTTATAGTACACGAGATTCTCGGGTGACCTTCTTGATTGACCGGCGAATAACTGTGGGTAGGACGAGTTCAAAGGCAGTTGACACGATAATTTGGTACTCGGCCTAAAATGCTAGCAGGGCGGTTTATAGTTGGAAAATGGCGAAAGAAACAAAGTGCAACGGTCGAAAACTTATGAAAGAAAGCTTTCGTTCCTAATGGCTCAAAAAGCAATTTCGGACGAGTTTCCCATAGGCATCTTGCCAATAACCACTACGATAGGCATGGCTGCACGTATGCACTCACATATCCATGCACTATCGCGGCCGCTTCATATCAAGCGGCCCTTTCACTATTTTGATATCCCAACCAGCCGGTATCTTCAACTATTTTACTTAGCAAATGAAGCAATACGAGCATACTACGGTCTCACTTCGTGGCGGGCGTGGGGGGGGGGGCGTTCGGATCGGTATGTTGTAGCTTGATAGGGCCTTATAAGGGTACCTTCCTTGAAAAGGCGCTACGCAGCGCCTGCTCAGGGTCGTGAATTCCGTCCTGCCAGGCGTATTGATCCTACTCGTCTTACGGATCTATCGCACCAACCGTTTAACTCAGCACGACGCACTATCATTTGTCCAGTCCTTAGAGTCGTCGTATCCCACCAACCGATATCCTCACTGAAGTTGCCAAATCTTCCAAAAAATTGAATTGTTGAGTTTTGTGTACAAACACAGCCCTAAAGGCAGTAGGCGCGGTTGCTGGGAGCGGGCGGTTGTTGCCAGCGTCATTAATGGAAGGGCTGCGAAAAGGTATTCGGCCACACCATACTTAGCCCCTCACACGGCCGCCCGCCCCCAGTTGTGTGCGCTGTCTTTGATCAGTAGAACATTTCAGAGATCAAAAGAAAGCCGAAGAACTTGAGGCTCGTGTTCGAATTCCTGAAGCTCGCGCAAAGCTCATCCAGAGGCGAGATGGCTACATGTATTTTGTGAGTACCAAATTAATGCGCTGTAGACATCAACAGAATTTGATCATGTTTTTTTTCAGTTGGCAAAACTGGTATGGCAGCCGAATGGACCAAAGCTTGGTCTTGGTATCAAACACTTCCAGAATCGTGTACTTGTTTCGCGTTGCGACGCCGGTTCATTATCTGCCACTCAACTAGCGGTGAGCGAGATTAACGCCTATCTGGAATACTACCGTAAGCTAGGCTGGCACATGTTGTCTACTATCACATTTTATTTTTTTCTCAAGAAAGCAGCACCTAGGATGGGCAAGGAGCCAGTGTTCCTGGTCTTACAGTGTCTCGTTCAGGTCGGCGACCATATTATCGATATCGATGGTGTGCCTGTGACCGATAAGGATGTTGCCAGAGATCTACTAATTAAAGCTCTGCAGGTGCGTGAGATCCTTAAGCCTCTGAGAGAGAAGGAAGTGAGCTATTTAAAGTCACTTTTCAGGAGAAGAAAGAGGTGACAGCTGTGGTGGAACGACCTGAGTCGATGGAGGCGAAACATTGGACGCAACAGGCTCTTGTCACTCAAGTAATCTTTCGTATAGTCCTTTTCGCTGCTGACGCTGTTGCATGTTGGGACGGGGGGGGGGGTGGGTTCGGCGCGCCGCCAGCCGATTTTCCATCAACTGTTGTCGCCTGCCCAGTTCAACAGTTGGTGGAAAACAGTCTAACGCTGCGCCAAATTCAGCTCCCCTAACACGTCTCGACAAAGGAAGGACTGTACAAGAGCACGGACGGATCCGATCTCAAGTTACTTCTTCTCAGATTGCCCAACCACCGTCTGTCCAGATGAACTCGGATGTGCGCGCCATAGCAGCTCGTGAACGTGCCAGAGCCAAGCAACCGAAACCGGTACAGTTTTGTTGTGCTTGATGGAATTAAGAACCTCTGCAGAGTCTAATTTCACTTAACTTCTCACCTCCAAGTTCCCTTTCCTTGAAAGGGACAGAATAGATGGGCACGACACCTCCACCTCAGCGTCTAACTTAACTCCCCACTTCAGAGTCTAACTTAACTCCTTCATAAGGTACACTCCTTATCCCTGAGCCAGAGTAGGCGTGGCATTTGAACATGGCACGGAACTGGTTACTCGTGGAATATTCCAGTCTGGGACAACTGTCATCTTGTTCTGTGTTGGACAGAGACACGACAACAATTGTGTCAAGATGAAAATATCTCACCAGAAGCATAGACTCCTTCAGGTTAAGTTGAAGCATGCAGCCACGCCTACCCGATCTCAGGGATTTCGAGTATATAGCCGCTCGGTTCCGCGCAAATTTCTCAGCGTTTCTGTTAACTGGCAGAGGAATGATCGTTAGGTAAATGCTTTCACCGATTAGCTATTAGAGACGTTACACAGAAGTGAAGGCAGCCACACGGCCAGACTTTTTTCGCGGAAACTAATCTTTGTGTCCTCCGGAAGTGTAAGTAAACTTACTGGGCAACAAAGAGCCGAACACAAGCGTCCGTACGAGGGCTCAGCGAATAACGTGACAAGAGTCATCCCCAGGCCAGATATTCTTGCTTCTAGAGGCATTTCGCCACACATTTGGTTCTTTTGGGTTCGACACACAACTATCTGCCTCTCTCTACCTACGACACACACTCATTACCTCAAATGTGAGTCATTAGATGGGAAATAGCGAAAGCGTTGTTTAGCGGATTACAATAATTTTTTTATATTGTGATGACTGTTGCCATTAATGCAGCATTCGCACCCCAAAAATTTACATCCAAGTGTGGTGGGTTGGGGCTGGAAGCTTAACATATCGTCTTCTGGCGAGACTTAAGTACAAAAAACTGCATGAATACAGTCCCACAAATTGTGAGTAACTAACCCACGAATGCTGAGTTATTGGCAGAAGGCTTGACTGGAAACTGGAACCGATCCGGCCCGATCTCCGAATTTTTAGGGCAAGTGGTTTTTGGTACATACTACCGGGCTCAAATATGAGGAACTAGCCGATAGCGAAGTGAACTTAACTGGCCTGATACGTCGGCTCGCGATAGCAGCCACGCTGTGTAAAGGACTAGCACACTGCTTGGAAACCTGAGATGCCGGTGTCGTCGAGTTTCTTGCTGGGTCACAGTCTTTTTCCTAATAGCTCTTTTGGCTCAGCACTCTTGTGAACCGACCCACTTCTCGTGGACTGTGGTCTCACTACGTGCTTCTCCATAGCCGACATGGAACGTCTTTACCGACCCTTAGCAGCTTCTTTCACGCCCAAGTGATCAGAAAAAAAATGCTTCAGTGGAACTTCCTCCAATCTTGAAGTTCTTGAAGTCTAACTTCTCCCTATCTTGCTCATCTCCACGCTTCTAGAAGAGAAATAGGATGTAAATAGGGCGCGAACCTATCGTTGGGGGTTCCTTGTGCACTGTTCTCATAATTAGAGGCTTGCATTCAAATTTGATGAGTTATGCGGCTCAAATACTTATAACAAGGTAGCAAGTAACCCCTTAGTGAAGAAAAATCAGAAAGAAATCATAGGAAAGGCTCTATATAGAACCCCTTGCTTAACTGAGGTTGTACGTGCTCAAGGCGAAGAGAAGGTGCGGTCGCACGAGTTCTCACTTGTTGATATCAGCTGTTTTCCCTTATCACCTCACTCTCACCACTGGAGAGAAGCAGCAGCGAAACAACCGCACCATCAGATAACCATTAGGAATGAGTGGAGGGCGGTGCCAATGATTGTAGGTTGGGCCAATGAGAAGAACGACGGCATCGTGGCCTCCTCACTCGTTTTTGCGCCGCGAAAGTGGTGTAGTTGTTGCCTCTGCGGACCTGACTACCTGCTCACGAAGGGAGAGGAAAATCTCAACTGAACGCGGACGCTGCCTTTAATGTGGTGCCGTCTAACGGATAGATGATAGACGTTAATGAGAATTCGCACAGTCAATTACAACCCCTCCCCTCTTTCTCACTCCAGCGACCAAATACGACCCATCTATGAGGATTGCCAGCGATACGTGCCCTGGAGGTGAGTGGGTTTGCAGCTGCGGTAGCGTGCCAACTTTCTGCGCTCAAAAGTGCACGACAGGACTGGAGGAAGACTGTGCAGTCTGGCCACTCCGCTCTCGCTATCCCCAATGTGCAGCGTTCACATACCAAGGTCCCGAGAAGCAAAAGCGAAACAGGAAACAAAACAGCTAGATAGGCACTCAGATGATAACCAGTAGTGAGAGGGCGCCGACAAGTAGCGTTTGGCTACGGTAAGGCGTGCGGCTGGCTCAGCACGGGCGTAGTATGGAGACTTCACCTCCGTAGCACTACCTTTCACACCCTCCCACCCCGCCCCCATGCACTTTTGACCGGAGAAAGTGGCACGCTACTACAGTTGCGGGTCCATTCACCGCACACATGGTAAGGACCATGTTCTCTGGAGGTGAGTGTACAGTTTGCCTTCAATGTCTGTGGTGTTATGAAACCTACACAAAAGATATGCCTTTTTTGTCAGCAACCAAAATCAATTCTTCGACCGTCGACGAACACTAGAAACATCACGATCAGTGACGAAGTCTTCTCACATATCATCGCTTCCGACAACGAAGGGCGACAACTCAGACCTGTCCGAAAATAGATCGCATAAATACCGTCAAATAAACGCTGCATTTGTTCGCTTTCGATTGCCATTATAACAGAACATCACATATGCATATTTTTCATTGCGGTTTTATCACCTTTACTTCGCCAACCTAGCTTATTGCCTTGAAGACAGACTGTACACTCACCTTCAAAGACGGTCCTTGCGATGTGCGAGGTGAATGGGTCCGCATCTGCAACAGCGTGCCAATTTTCCCGGTAAGAAAGGCACGGGAACAGAGCTGTAGTGTAGTGGCACCCGTGTGCCGTCAATGTACTCCGCCCGCGATAGCCTCGAGGTGCAGCACTTTGGTCGTTGCTGAAGTCCCGCAAGGTTCTCAGCGGTGGAGAACAACCAGAAGTGAAAGAGCGCAGACAAGTAGCGCGTTTGGCTATGGCTAGCGCTTCGGCCGGCCGTGCGACAAGGCGAGGTGGAGCATGGATTCGGCACCGGGATATCAGCACCCCTAGCCCCGTTTCCATTAATTTCTAAG